AGATGGTCTCATCTACAAAGCTCATAACATTTTAATCCCTCCAAAGTTACGAGCAGAAACCCTCACCAACTCCACCATTCCCATCAAGGCATCGCGAAAACTAAACATCTCGCTCGCGAAAGTATCTTTTGGCCTGGAATGAGCACACAGATAGACAAGCAAAGATCCAAATGCGAGACATGCCTGACAAATGTCGACGGTAACCCACAAGAACCTCTCAAACCACACAAAATCCCTCAACGTCCATAGCAAAAAGTCGGAACCAACCTTTTCGAGTGGAAAAGGTAAGCCACATTTAATCGTTGTAGATTACTACAGTCGCTATTCCGAAGCGAAGCTGCACTACGCAACACGAAAGCACAGACTGTGATTTTGAAAACCCAATCCATATTCAGTCAACACGGCATCCCTGAAGAGGTTATTTCAGACATTGGACCTCAATATTCCTCCCAAGAATACCAGCAAATTGCGAAAGAGTACGGTTTCACCCACACAACGATTAGCCCGCGATTTCCACAGTCTGGTGGTCTACGTGAGAAAACCGTACAGACTGTCAAGCGCATCTTGGAAAAATGTCACACGAACAACCAAGACCCCTACCTAGCTCTCCTCGACTATAGAAATACTCCGATAGACAGGGTCAGTCCTGCACAAGCCTTGATGAGCTGCAGACTTCGTTCTACACTTCCAATAACCTAGTGCAAACTCCAACCCTTGCTTATCAATGGTCGTCAATTCTCAGCTACTCGCCAACAACAGCAACAAAATCAGAAAAAATACCACGACAAAACAGCTAAACCTCTTTCTCCCTTGAGAAAAGGTGACATAGTGCGATTTAAGCTTGATCCTAGCTCCAAAGTGGGACAAGGCAAAGATCAACTACATGAGACACCGCGAAGTTACGTTATTGAAACGAAAGGCAGGAAGTTACATTATTGAAATGAAAGGCGGAATACAACACCGAAGAAACAGACGACACAGAAAACCAACGAGCCTTCTTTTGACTCGATTGAAGCGCAGACTGAGAATCTTATGCCAACAAACCAAACCAATCATGACCAAAGACGAGAAACCAACTACCCCACATCAGCCACAGGAAATTCTCCTAAAAGAAGCCGTTATGGACGCATAGTTAATCAAAACCCGAACTATAAAAGTTAACAAATGAACAATTAGAAACAGCTATGAACAATATACAGGGTGTCTTATGGAATGCCATAGCTGTCTTACGTGGTATATATTCATTATATGCGGTGCATTTTTCTTTATATGCTGTCCTTTTGACATTATATGCGGTGCTTTTGTCTCTATATGCTGTCCTTTTGACATTATATGCGGTGCATTTTTAGTGCAAAGTTTCAAAGAAACTTTGCAGTATTGTGATGAGTAGGGAAATTCACATCAGTCATTCATACAGTCATAGTGTAAACTTTCCGGGGGGTAGTTTATTTTATGCTTTTAGTAACTTTTTGTACATGATCTGTAATTTAAAGTTTTTAAATCAGTTTAACTTGCTTTATTTATTAATGCACTATCCCTTTTGCTAATTTCACCAAAATATTGATGAATTTTGACCGTTACTGTAAATTTTGAAGCATTGTTTTTTCGTGGTTTGGGTTTTGTTTTAAAGAGACTTGCCCCCGGAACACCCGATTTTTTCTTATACGTCGCAACTGCGCATGGGCCGTCGAGCCTTGAATATTATTCACAATGTGAAGAAGCCAGGAGCGACGAGCATTGCTTGAAAACATTCGGGCGTAAAAATCGAGCAATTCTTTGAGAATCTACGCAATTTATCAACTTATGTTATGATTTACGAACATTCAATTCAACACAAGTATAAATTGGAAGGTTTATTCCATAAATAGAGCTAAGAGGATAGGATGAAATGACGCTGTGTTGTTTATGTATTAATAATTTGATAGATCTCTTACACGAATATATATTATGTCAATAGCAAGTCGGTCCTGATATTCTGCATACAGTACATAAATGATACTATACAAAACTGACATTTTGTGCAGTAATTAAATCATTTTAGCGGTATACAGTATTGATTATAGGTATATTGTTTTGTATCCATTTACGCGTCGACGTTCCACATCATAGATATAATATGCAATGTGGTTTATTTACATTATTTAGAACGCAACTATTTTTGCTGTTCTTATGAAATGACGGATAAATTGTTGCCATCATATAAATGTAGTGAATGTACACTTCGTCACAGTTGTTTGACGAAGAAAAGAGACTAAACTGAGAAAATCGTGCCCGGTTTACATGAGCAACTAAAATATATCCTAAGGTAGGCAACTTCAATCACAATATTGAATATTCACATGGACACATGCAAACAATCCGAAAATACTTCAATTTATCCCTAAAACCCAGCTAAAATAACAAGAGAAATGAAATCTACGATAATTTTACTATACACTGACTATATTTTAATAATGAAAATAAGTTATGAAAGCGAGAAAAATGCGAAACGTTTTTGATATTTTATCATAGGCGGCCAGAACTGATCTTGCTGACCTCGCGCGACGCTCATGTTGTCTGAACAGTCATAATAAAAGACTGTTCAGACAACATGAGCGTCGCGCGAGGTCAGCGAGATCAGTTCTCGGCCGCCTATGATTTTATACTCATTTTTTGAATGGGCCGATGCTGGACCCGCGCTGTTGACTTTTTGAGAACGTTTGAAAATGACGAGTTTGTAATCTCACTGCCTGTTTTTGTTCTCGCTGTTGTGACAGCCAATCAGATAGCAAATTCGTCATTTTCAAACGTTCTCAAAAGTCAACAAACTTTTCGCATTTTTCTCGCTTCCATTAGTTCCATAACTTGTTTTAATTATTAAAATATAGTCAGTGTATAGTAAAATTATCGTAGATTTCATTTCTCTTGTTATTTTAGCTTAGTTTTAGGGATAAATTGACGTATTTTTGGACTGTTTGCATGTGTGCATGTGAATATTGTGATTGAAGTTGCCTACCTTAGGATTATTATACTATACAATAGCTACCTACATTGCCTTGTCAGACAAGCAAGTCGCCTGTTGTAAGTAACAAGATTTAAGTATATTAGCATGTAAATAAATGACATATGTGTGAATTTCATGAAAGTGTACATTTTTAAATCAAATAAAACCATTCGCCATTGGGCTGCCTATGCTGCGACTAACGTAACTTCACTAACTTGAGTACTTTGAGTAATTTCCTTTTCATTAATGTTTAACCTAGTTCATTATATTTTACTGGCATAAATCAAAATGTTTGGGCATGGAAACTTTGCACTATCCTTGGATTCCTAGTTCTTTATATGCTGTCCTTTTGACATTATACGCGGTGCATTTCTCTTTATATGCCATGCAATTGACATTATATGAAAAATCATTATACTCAATTTCATTATCTGGTACCCAGCCTTTTACATTTCGCACGCGGACAAAAAAACTACGTGGTCCTAACATGAAGTTCTTCATAAGGCAGCAAAACTTCGCTGTTCGCAAACGAATTGGCGGGAAAGATTGATTTCACTGGTTTTTACACCGCATAACACCGCATATATTTGCATTTTGAAATTCTATAATAATACTGGTAATAATTTAAATTTGATGCGGGATGGAAAAAGTTCTCGAGGAAATAGGTCTTGGGACACATAGTCAACGCTTTAAAGAAGAACGAATCGAGCCAGAGATTGTTTTAGCAATGACTGATGGCGAACTTACACGTCTTGGAATATCCACTGTGGGAGATCGCGTTCGTCTTCGGCGAGCATGTAGAGTTTGCACATCCATCACAAGTACAGAGCATTCGAATTCGGGGCCGGGGGACGCAGAATCATCTTCAAATTCCTCTAGTGAGCCTACTACTGTGTCTCATGGTGCATCTAGTGCAGTGCCATCTTTGGCTTCTGTTGCATCGGAGAGATTGAGGCTTTTTAATCCTCGCCATTCAAGAACAGGCTGCTCTTCGCGGAAAAGAAAGGCAACTGGTGGGCGAACATGGACTGCGCAATTTCTTTGCCTGGCCGACCGAAGGCAATCAAAGATCCCAAATTCCGTTGAAAAACAAATTTTGCATAATGCTGGGTTGGGTTTGAAGAAAATTAGATTTCAAGCAAGTGACAACGCCCAACAGTGGTAGACAAATAGTTGATGAAAGTCTGATACTGGTGAACCAATTGGTTTTCCCAAACTTCGTGACAAAGGTGGGTTTGAATTGCTTCGCTGCTTACCTAACTGTAGAGAACTAACAATTATTGATTCTCCATGGACTGTTGGAAACCTAAAGGCAAATCTTGGAAGTCAGTCTAAAATCTATGTCAGACCCATCCAAAGGAATCTGGCAACTACCTCAATTCAATCTGATGCAAATATTCAGATTAAAGAAAAATGTGAAGGTTGTCAGAAAGAATATGCAATGAATGAATTGCGTTCTCATTTGTACAGCTGTACAGCTGGTATTTTATCTTCAGATTCTTCTGAAAATGAAATGATTCTAACCACATTCAAGCTAGCAACTCTACATCCGAGATTGAGATAAATGGAAACAGTGAGAGGATAACATCAATGGAAATATTGGGACAACCTACCGTTATTGCTCACCGACAACTAACTGGTAGTGTTCAACCACAAACAAGCACCACTGAAAGGCCTGTTAGTGTTGATGTTGAACAATTACCTGATATAAATGCTGAAACAAGCATTTCAGTAATTGCAAATCAACAAGTGAACAGTCCACAACAGAATATTGCCAACAGACCTATTTCTATTGAAGATGACATGCAAGGTCCAATAGATATGAACGAACTTGAGCGTCGTGTAGGTGAAGTAGTAGAGCAGTGCAAGGAAAGTGATGTGGTCAGCAACAAAGAAATTCTTCGCTTATTACAATCTAAGATACTACAAGGGAGGAGTCTTGACATTGAAAGGGAAGATGTCTGCCCAGAAGACAAGTTACATTTATGTTGATCGTTACAACTTATTGGAAACTGCATTAGAAGAGATTGCTGCAATAGATAATCTTTTCCTCACATTGTGTGTCCAGTTTTATGGGGAGGTAAACAATAATACTGTATTTTTTGTCAGATTTGAAGTTACTACATATATTGTAGTAAGACACAAATTTATCAAACTTCATATAGATTTTGCAATACAATATTGGGGGACCCCTTTCTAATGGACTCCAACTTCCCCCCTAAAACTCTTGTGAATGCTCCAGGCCCTTATCTTTAAATTATTATGCAAATGTCACAATGAATATTTCAATCTTTCTAATTGTTATTTTTTATTAATTATTCTTAAAAAAATATTTTATATAGCAAGCCCAGGACTATGGTGGGCCCAGACGGGAATTTTTTAGATTAGCTCTTCGGGAGATAAAAGAAAAATATTTTGACCATGGTTTGCGCGAACTCCTGAAAGATGAATATGAAATTGTTGGAACCATAATGGGTATGTTTATAATCAATTAACAATTTAACCACCTATCAAACTCCAGATTACCCATTGGCATAACAAGCACAATAATTGGGGGGTACATGTTCATATGTGATTCCCCCCAATTATCTCAAAAATTTTGTTATTTTCTTTGCTCATACAGGCCTAAGTATCTTGCAAAATGGGAAACTTCCTCAGTTTATTCCACCAGATGTCATTTCTGCCTTATTTGATGTGAATGTCAAATTGGCCTGCATTGAAAATCTAAGGACTGGTCTTAAGAAAGTGGGAATCTTTCAGGTGAGAAGATATTTTGTTGACATTATTATATGGTTGGTACAAAAAATTTTGTAGAATGCTAAATGTTGTAACAATTATTTAACAATGTAGTGAATATTGCTAGTTAACAGTATTGCTAATGGAAGTGCATGGTAATATTTTGGCTGAATTATCATTTCAGATTTGCAGCCAGATGCCATCAATGCAAGATGTATTTAGGTTCAATCCATCTTCCACATTAACAATACGAAAATTGAATGCCTTGTTGTCTCCACAATTCAGTCCAACTGGCTCAAATAGGAGGCGTTTTGAGGGTGCAGTTTATGCTGTATTCTGCAAATATGTTCGCGAGGTCGCGGGTATGTGTAGTCATAGTTTAGTCATGTGTACTTAAAGTGATTTTTCATCCCATTTTGCAACTTTAGGGTGGGTAGGAATGGAAAAGTTAACATCTTGAAGTGGTACACAATCCTTATTTTTACACTAAATTGGTGTTATATCAAAGGAAAACTTCAATAACGAAACAAATTAACTGAATTTGATACTTTTTGGTCAAAATGTCAGAAAAACAAACGTCTGTGGATTTTTTTATTTAATATTTACCTAAACACAACTTATACAATTTCAGGTGGACGCCGGGGAGATGTTACATTGGCACATATACTTCAGTTTGCAACCTCAACTGATGAAGAGCCATTATTGGGATTCACAGTAGCACCGTCCATTATATTCCAAGAATTTACTCAATCATTTTTGCCCACAGCAAATACATGTGTAAATGCTATGACTCTACCTCATGCATCCATAACTGTTCAACTACCCCATGACCAAAAGCTGTGGGAATTATATGATGAAGCTTTCTTGAATGCATATTTTGGAAATATGTGAGTGTATTGCTTATCACATTGTGATCATTAGGCTTCTGGTTAAATGGAAACAGGAAGTAATATAATTTGGTTGACATTCTGAACAAGTAACCCAAGTGTTAGTAAAGCCTTTATGAGCTTTGTGTTTTGTTTCTTAATATTAGTTAAGGGTCCATACAGTATAAAATGTTAATATATATACATTGTGGGACTCAAACAATTGAAATTAAATATGTTTGCATGATTAAATGACTAATGAAAATGTTATATAATATCAACTTTCTCTGAAATAGTGTTTATGACAACTTTAATTAGTTAAGCTGCTTGTGTGTTGTTCAATAATTTCAAGAGCCTTCATGTATTTCCCAACATTGTAGTCACCTTGACTAGATCTAATAGAGTTGAGCTCTTCCATGCAGTCATCAGTAAGTTCGAGTATTGGTGGTGCAAAAATTGGTCGATCTGATTCATCTTCATCGATATTTTCGAGACCCTCTGCCCCATACAACTGTATTTCATCAGCTGACAACTCAATTCCAACAGGATTTTGAACCTGACCTGCAATCCATAACCTCAATGGACTTGACCTTACAGTACGCATACGGTGATTGCTCCATGCTCTTTGCCACAGTTTTAGCTTGCTATTAATTTCATCCATATACACATAATGCAAGGCAGCGATATGCTCATCATTTATAGGATCAAGAAAATGCTGGTCCTCAAGAAAGTAGAATAAATGGTAGTAATAGCTCAATACCCCCTGAAAAACATCACGCCACAACCTTTCAATTCGTTGGTTGTGCGTACTTCGCCCAGTGATTATACTACCACGATTACTACCCCTCTTTTCGATCATATAATCTGCTATACCGACATTCTCTAGACCTTTGTCAGTTCTCACTCTGTCAGGCAAACCATAGTCAGAGACAGCATTTGTGAAACAAGAGAGGAGAGTATCTGCCTTGTTGTTATTGGTGCAGTCCAACATGACCGGCAAACGACTAAATCCATCTATGCCACCAACAATTATAAAATTCCAACGTACCAACTTATGATTTGTATCCACATGCCATAGTCTATTTGGGCCTTTAACATTGTAAACTCTGCGGTGCAATCTTCCTTTCTTTCTTTCTTGAACTCCACATTCATCTACACGATGGATAGAATCTCGTAATCGCATTCTTTGAACTTTGATACCTTTTCCCTGAGAAGCTCCTTGATCATCACCTCCCCGCATAGTGGAAATTCTTTTGCAATATCTCTCACACAGTTGTCTAACTGTTCATCAGAAATATCAGAAAAGTCAAATTTGCTTAAACCGTAAAACCTCATTCGCCGATATATAGTACTCTCCGACACACAAAACATTGTTGCAATTTCTGATATTTTAAAATCTTCTTCAAGGTAACTTTTTAACACTTCTTTGGGGATTTCATATTTCAAATTACCAAATTCATCTCGTTGGCTGGTTGGTGTTCCAGTTCCATACTTAGTGCACTCAATTCGCAAAGCCATCACGTCACTTACGTTATTTATTCCTAACTGATGAAATTCAAACAATGAAAGATGACAAACTATATCAGGAGTGATCTTCTCTTCAGTGAATTTTTCATTGTGACAACCAAGATTAAGCTTTTCCAAAACACTTGACATTGATGTAGAAACCTGCATGTTGTTTAATTGAAAGAACAGGATTACAGGGAACGTTCCAGCGGAACGTCATGTTAGGACCACGTAGTTTCCTTGTCCGCGTGCGAAATGTAAAAGGCTGGGTACCAGATAATGAAATTGAGTATAATGATTTTTCATATAATGTCAATTGCACCGCATATAAAGAGAAATGCACCGCATATAATGTCAATTGCACGGCATATAAAGAGAAATGCACCGCGTATAATGTCAAAAGGACAGCATATAAAGAAAAATGCACCGCATATAATGTCAAAAGGACAGCATATAAAAAAAAATGCACCGCATATAATGTCAAAAGGACAGCATATAGAGACAAAAGCACCGGATATAATGTCAAAAGGACAGCATATAAAGAAAAATGCACCGCATATAATGAATATATACCACGTAAGACAGCTATGGCATTCCATAGTGTCTCAAAAAAAAATGAAAACTATTGAAATCACTCATTGTTAAAATTTGAATGCTGTGTTCACGAATTTTAGCCCGTGGGGAATGCCATAACTGTCTTATGTAGTGATTTTTCATTACATGGTGACCATTCGTAATATACGCGGTCCAAACGTCATTATATGCTGTCAATTTGTCAATATATTCGGTCCAAACATCATTATATGCTGTCAATTTGTCAATATATGCGGTCCAAACTTCGTTATATGAAATTTCATTATGTTCAAACGTCATTACCTCCAACTTCATTATACGAAAAATCAGTATAGGAATCTTCATTATGATGAAAATTCATTATACGAATCTTCATTACGATGAAACTTCATTATATGAAACTTCATTATGTGAAACTTCATTAGATGAAACTTCATTATGTGCAAACTTCATTATATGAAACTTCATTATGTGCAAACTTCATTATGTGCAAACTTCATTATGTGCAAACTTCATTATGTGCAAACTTCATTATATGAAACTTCATTATGTGCAAACTTCATTATGTGCAAACCTCATTATTAATATTGCTTGTTTGCAATCACGTGACCTTTCCCCCAAATGACGGACAATCAAACAACTTCGAAACTGTGCACCAATTAAGAAATAGAAAACATAACTATACAGTTATACTCCCTATTTACCATTTCACTGCTCAAAAATTTTTTCAAACACAAAAAAATGAAAGCCTTTTTTGTAAAAAAAGATTAAAAAGTTCATTAATAATTAATTAATATTCACAACGTTTGGCGCCAAGTTACTAAATCTCATTGCTTACAAACTTTCGGAAGTTTTTGGAAGCACAAGGAAAACTGAGAAAGTTAAAAACATATTTTTAATGTGTTTTAATTAACCAACATGGATAATTTGCTCAAATATTCAAAAAAAATAGTGACACCTTCTGCACAAATGCACATAGATTAATAAAGTTTTTCAAAAAAAGTCCTTAGAGATTAGATTTTTTCTCCTCATTAGATATTCCTTTTTTAGCAGTAGAACTTCCTTTATTCCTTAGAAAAGAAATTTTCTTGAAAATGGAAGCACTGCTGAAATTCCGGCTCTTTCTACTGGATGGAAAATAGCGTGTGTGTCAACCAATTTACACAATATGCAAATTACCTTTGTTGATTAAACATTTTTGCGCTAAAAATACAAATGGATAAGATTTTAGAAGACGCTGGTCTTTCTACTTTACGCGAAAGATTTCAGGAAGAAAGAATCGATCCTGAAATAGTTATTTCTATGTCGGATGCAGAATTAGCTCGCCTTGGTGTTACAACAATAGGTGATCGGATTCGTCTACGTTCAGCATGTCGAGGAAAGAAAGATGCAGATGCACTAAATGTTTCTCCGGAAAATAATTCACCATCATCGAATGCTGGTCCAACATCTTCTAGTTCCACTGCCGCAAAAGTCGCATCGGAACGTGCTACATTGTTTAACCCCCAACATTCAAGGGTGGCCAGCAGAAAGAGAAAGGCGTCCCAAGGCTCTGGTAGAACGTGGACGGCTAATGTTTTTTGCTTGGCTGATCGCCAACAAACCAGCATACCAAATGCAAGCACTAAGCAAATTCTGCACAATGCAGGTTTGAGGCTAAAAAAGATCAAGTTTTCACTTGAAGATAATGAAACCCAGGTTGCTCAAAAAATCATGTCAGATGAAGTTGTGGATGATGAGACGACACTGGGCTTCCCACAACTTAAAGTTGGGGGTGGCTTTGAGTTGCTCAAGTGCCAATCAAACTGCAGACAACTAACTATGATTACATGCTCTTGGGCTGTGAAAGATTTAAAAGCAAACCTTGGGACACAGTCTAAGATTTATGTTCGACCAATCCAGGCAAATCTCTCGACCAAGCCTCTTAAGCCTGAAAAAGTAATGCAGGTGAAACAGACATGTAATGGATGCCTACAAGAATTCCCCATGCATAAATTACGAGATCATTTATATACATGCACAGCAGGACTATTTGATTCTGAACCAGAAGCAAATGATGGTCTTGGTAATGCAACTGATGTTACAATTCAGCAATGCCAATGTAATGACACTATAGAAAGCGATGTCAGCACTGTAATGATTACCCAAAATAATGATGAGCCGGAGATAACCGTCAGTACTCCATTGGTTCCAGAGAATGATGTAAATACTCTTGTATATGAACCTGTGGTTATTGACATTGAAAGCATGGACAATAGCAGTGATATTGAGGGAGGAATTGTGCAAAGTATTGGTCAACATGAAGAAGCCTTAATACATATTGATTCAAAAAAACAAAGTTTCTAGCACTAAAGAAGTTGTGCGTCTAATGCAATCCAAACTGGTGAAGGGGAGAAGCCTAGAAGTAAAAAGTGAAGATGCTTGTCCAGAAGGTGCAACAAACTACATCCTGGTTAACCGCTACAACATTTTAGAGACAGGCATGGATGAGATAGCTGGTTTACAGGATCCTTTTCTTACCATGGAAGTCCAGTTTTATGGAGAGGTTATGTGTTTTTCATCTAACACTTTACAGTAATAAAATTTGGTATTTTTTCATATAATATACAGTATAATTAATTTAACCATATCTTTAACAGCAAACCCAAGACTATGGGGGTCCACGAAAGGAATTCTTTCGTTTAATCTTACTTGAAATCAAATAAAAATATTTTGATGATGGGCTTCGTGATCTCTTGGCAGAAGAGTATATTACCATTGGAATGATAATGGGGTAAGATTAAGTAAGACTTTTCATTTTTATCTTTCATTTGATTTTAAAGAGTTCTATCTGAAGCAGAGCATCAAAACACTGTCATTTACAGATTTGTTATTCATGTGTGTTTGGGTGGGGGGTTGGGAGGGGATGTTCCCAAACATATTATACACTTTTCATGCCCCTCTCTATAATTAACACATTGACATTTCAATCTTGACCATTCAAACTTTGCAAAATAAGACATTGTTTAGTCAACTCTCATGAATACTGCCAAAGTGAAAAATTGTAGAATAAAAAAAAAGGAGAATAGGTTGTTTAGTAGTTCACAATTAAGCATATAATTCCCAAAAGCATATGGAAACTTTCTTGCTGCGCTGTTCTGTGTTAATGT